AGGGAGCAGGCGGTGGGGCGGGGGGCGCGCGATGCCGTTGGCTGCAGCTTCTCCAGGGTGTCAGTGAGCCTGGCGTCGGTGCAGCTGCAGGCTGGGCCCTGCCACCTTCCAGGTTGCCCAGCCGTGGGGGCCTCCCGGCTTGACTGGCCTTCCCCTCGCTGCCAGGTTTAAGGACACGATGCTGAACACGGTCGGCCACCGTTGCACAGAGCGGTCCCTTCAGCTGGGGCTCCTCTACTCTCCCCGAGAGGCCCTCAAGATCGGCCTCGTCGACGAGTTGGTGCCGGAAGAGAAGATCCAGAACGTCGCTGGGGAGACCATGGGCCAGTGGCTGGCGATTCCAGGTGACCCCCAACTCACGGGCAGGCCTGCCCGGCTGAGGCCGAGCACGTTAAAGCGGGCAGGGGGAAATGGCACCCCTCCAGAGACCGGTTCGGCCCGGGCGGGTCCCTGGCTGGAGGTCATGCTCTGAGGGCGGCCTTTTCCCCACTGGGTTTTTAAAACCTTGAAGGCCCCAACTAGAGAAGGGAGGCCGGTTTTGTGGAGGGGAGGAAGGTGTGGAAGGTCTGGTGTGGAACCAAGAGGGTTGGATTGGGGACCCAAGGTGGGGTCCTGGGGGTGTGGAAGGTCTGACCGGAGGCCTGGAAATCCTCGGGAGCAGACAGCGCTGCCGTGTGCACACGATCTCCTTAAACCCAGTAGCCGTTCATGGCCAGAATTGGCTTGATTGTGTCCAAAGCCTTGCCTTTATGGTTCCTTGGGGGGATTGGGACCCCGGTTGTCCCACCACCACCACGCTCCCTCCAGCCCCCTGGGCACCGGTCTGACCCGCGCGCTCTCCTTGCTGCCTAGATCACGCCCGCCAGCTCTCCAAGTCCTCCCTGCGGAAGCCGACGGTGGACCGCCTGCTGGCGCACCGCGAGGCCGACGTCCAGGACTTTGTGCGCTTCATCTCCAGGGACTCGATCCAGAAGTCCCTCCAGGTGTACATGGGGATGCTGAAGCGGAGGAAAGCCTGAGGGGAGGACCGGCACACCCACCCACCCACCTACCCACCCTGGGGCCCTGCTGGGCCTGGCCTTCCCACCCTCCTAGATTTTGTGTGGCGTTCATGCTGGGCTCGGAGGATCCCGGAGTTCAGATCGGGGCCAACGGGGATGGGGGTGGCTGGGCCAGGGGAGGGAGGGGCCAGGGTGGGCCCCTGCCTGTCTCCTGCTTGTATCCCTGGGAGAGAAGAAACTTTGCCGACACTGAGCTGTTAATAAATGGTTGGAAACGGAGACGGCTGTTGGCCTTTTGGATGCAAACCCTCCTGGTGGGGTTCTCTTTCCTCGCCCCACCCCGCCTGGGGCCTCATTGGCTGGAGCTGGGGGGGTGCCTTTGCAGCTGTCCTCCCGTGACTGCTTGGCACAGATGCTGGCACTTGGCTCCCATTTAGGGTGCCACACGTGCCTCTGTAAGGCAGAGTGCTATCAGGTGAGCCGTGGGACTCCTTTTCCAGGATGCAGGGTGGGTGGGTCTTCCTGGAGCCCCCCCCGCCTGCCCCCCTTTCTGGCTTCGTCCATTCCCTGTAAAACAAAGAGAGGGAGCCTCGGCTTCTAGCCGATCAGCACGTTGGCATTTCTTTTAAGACAGAAGGCTGGAGTGTTTATCTCTTGAGGGGACTGGATTTGAGGGCCGGTAGGTTCCCTTTGAGCACGACCGTTCCGTCCTGAGCTACTTATTGGTTTATTGCGGTGCCCTCGCTCTGAGGGCTGTGTACACAGCAGAACGCACAGCATGGCCTCCTTGCACCCGCTCTTTGAGGTAGGCTGCGGCAGACTGAGCGAGGGCGGCTGCCCCAAGGCCAATCCAGAGAGTTCTGGGCAGAGCGGGTGAAGGGAGAGCCAGGATAAGGAGAGAACCTGTCTCAGGCAGGCACGCAGTGGCTGCAGCTCTGGGGCACGGCAAGTATGTTGGATGCAGGGGGTCCTCGGTTTGACTGGAGAGCAGAGAAGTTTTCCCCCTCTTCTGTGAAGGATCTCGGGGCATCGCTGCTTCCCAAGGCAGGCCCCTCTGGGCTCGTAAGAGCGGAGGCTGGCTGGGCAGGCGTGCCCAAGAAAAGGGCGGTACAGCAGTCGGGTGAGGTAGCAGTGGGGGCTCCAGCCAGTCATCCATGCTGGCCCGGGGGAGGGGGGGAGAGCCAGACCTGCGCACCCACCCTGCGCACGCATGCAGGCAGCAAAGCGGCGCTCCGAGGGAGGAAGGGACATCACTGGGACTTCAGCGTCACTTCCACTGGGAAGTGGTCGCTGACAGCCAGAGCCTGCAAAGGAGAAAGAAAGAAGGGGTGCTCAGAGCCCCACCAGGACCCAAACCCTCAGCGCATCAGACAGGCCACATGCTCGGCACATGGCGGCAGCCAGAATCCGGCACGCTGTGGATCGGCGCTTGGTCAAGGGGTCATGGATCCCTTTAGCAGCCAGTGACGCCCGTCCTTGTTCTGAGCCTGTTGGGGAGATGGTTTAAATCGGCGCCTTCAGCCCCTCTTTCCGTGCCTGTGCTGTCATGGGGGACGGGGGGGGGTGTCAGGCCAACATTTATTCACCTGCTCTTGGCTCAGTTTGAAGGTACTCTGGAAGTTGTACACTTTGGCAGAATTGGGCTTGATCCAGTTCCTCAGCTTTGCGCCACTCACGACGATCCTAGAAGAGAAAAGGGGGGCAGATGGAGCCCGGCAGCCCCCCATGCCCTCCTGACGGAGGGAGCGCCAGTGGAAGGCTGGCCGCATTGCAGAGGTGGGAGGGGAGGAGAAGGGAAGGGGGAAACCCCAGAGATGCCCTGGAGGCGGGGAGGGGGACAGGAAGAGGCTCAGGCTTAAATCTCGGTGGCCCTTGGCCAGCTCTCTTGCAGGGCAGACCCTGTGGGCGTCCCTCCCTTGGCCCTCCGGCTCCTGCCCCCTGCCCCCTCCCCACGCGGACGGCTTGCCTGTCGTAGGCGCAGTCGGAGTCGCCCACGGTGGTGTCCGTGTCGTCGGAGATGAGCCACTTGAAGACCTCGCTGCTGCGCAGGCGGATAGAGGCCCAGTCGTTCTTCCCAACGTAGCTGCAGTCTGCGTTGAAGTCTCCGAGGAACATCATGTTCTGCCGGGAGAAAGAGGGTGCCAGTGAGAAGCCGGGCGAGGGGCAGATCCTGCCCTCCGGTGGCTGGCCCCTGAGCAGGGCAGTAAGCAGGCAAGAGGGTCTGGGCCCGAGATTGGCGGGGGGGGGAGGCTTAAATGCCCAGCTGGCTTTTAATCCGGCCTCGCTCTGCAGGTGGTCAGAGACCAAGAGGCAGGGAGGCATCTGGGCTTCGTCCATTTCGGTCCTGAATCTTGCCACAAATACTTTGTTCTTTTCCTGCAAGGGGCTGAAGAACTGCCCTTACCCATAGACGTATAAAGGAAGCCTTTTAAAAACACTCAGCCGGTGTGGCAGGTGAGACGCTGGCGAACATCTGGCAGATTGAGCCCAGCCATGGAGCAGCAAGCAGCCTCTCTCCCCCCCGCCCCCCCGCCAGCACTTACATCCGTGCCCCACTTGTCAATGACCTTCAGGTAGACATCGTAGAGAGCATCTATCTCGGCCACGGCGTCGCTCGGAGGAGTGTGGAGGGGGACCAGAATAAGCTCGTCTTCCTCTGCCAAAAAAATAACCCACCCGGGATTAAGATCCTGTGCAGAGCCCCCGCCTCCTCCCTTCCTTCGGGGCTGTCCTCTCTTCGCAAAAACCACTGGGGGGGGGAGCCAGAACCCGGTGGCTCGGCCGCCTCCCTCTTTCCAGGCATGAGCTTCCAGGATTGGGCCCGGCTGTGCTTCCCGTCCTGCCTGCCTAGGACCTGCCTTTTGCTCCTTCCCATCCATGGCCCCGTTTCCCCCCAACCCCAATCCCCCCCCCCATGACTTTTGCTCTTTTACTGACTTGAGCCTGGAGTGGAGAACTTCACAATGAAAGGGGCTCGGCTGAAGGCGCTGTCCTTGTTGGAGTATTGGTACTTCTCCAGAGGAGTCACACTGTCCGTCCTGGAGGAAAAGCGAAGGAAATCCGTGTCAGAACGACCAGGGTGGTGGTGGTGGTGGTGGTGGTGGTCCCTGCAGCCCAAAGGCAGGTGCAGAAACTGGCAGTGCAGGAAAGGGGAGGGACAGATCCAGGAAGAGACTCCTTCCCGTCAAGCTTCTGCTTTACCTTTTCTCCATTCTGGGGAAAGATTGGGGGGGGGGAATTGTCAATATATAGAGCATGTGTGTATGTCTCTGCATTTAACGGAGGGGGCTCCAGACCAAATCCAGCCCTGAACTCTCTCTGGATGCTAAAGTGACTTAGTTATGAGAAGTCTAGGCTCCCCATTGTGAGACCGTTGTGTTGGGAGAAAGAAAAAGCAGTAGCAAAAAAGGAAGGTGCGAGATGAGAGGGATCAACTCAGTAAAGGAAGCCCCAGCCCTGAGTTTTTCAGACCTGAGCAGGCGTTTATAGGAGATCACATTTGGGAGGTCGCTGACCGACAGACAACGGCCCAAGGGAAGAGACCGCTTAAAGGCACCTAGGACTTAGCAACAGGTGGATCGGGGCTCCCCTGATGCTACAAAGAGGGGGGGGGAGGTTAGAGTTCGGGACAGCACAATCGGCCTCCTCTTGAGTCTAATGTTCCTTGGTCCAAATCCTTTGAGGGCAGAATGAGCCACTGTTCTGTTTCTGGCCTCATCCGGTACGTAGCCACCCAGCAGGAAAGCACCCCCGGAATCCCATGGGAGTTCAGCACAAGCCCCCTGGGGAATGTGTGCGTGTGTGGAGGGGGTGCGTGTAGGGAGACCGCGGGACGGGGGGGGGGCTTCCATCCAGGACCTGTAGATGAAGAGGTACATCTCCTTGTAGTTCTCCCGACCGAGCGGCTCGCTGCTCTCGTAGGCGTAGGAGTGCTCGGAGGCGCTGCAAGGCAAGCCGAGGGAGACGGTCAGGGACAGAGCGGGAAATGCACGGATCCTTCCCCGCCGTCCTCGGTCTGTGCTGGTGGAACCTGCTCAAACTGCAGGAGGGGATTTTGGGCCCCCCAAGCACCTTGATTTTTCCAGCATCCCGTGCATGGATTTAATTTTCTTGTTTGTTTAAACCGGAGGGTTCGGAAAGGTCACCGCTTGCTTTTCTCAAGGAAGAAAAGCCCTCGCCCAAGCCCTGGAGAAACACCGGGGGGGGGGGGGNNNCTTGGTGCCTCCCTTTAAAGCCACTTCCTGGCAGGGACCCCACCTGTCGCTTACCTGTTCAGGCGCTCCATCAGTTCACTGACAGCGCTGAAGTCTGAGTCCCGCACCTCTTGCACCAGGGCGATGTCATACCGGGACAGGATCTGGTGGGGGGGGGAAAGAACGTGGGGGTAAGCGAGCAAGGGGGGCTGGGCTGATCCCGGGTCTTTGGAGCCCCCCCCCCAAAGCATTCGAACCAGCCCTTATTCTTTCCATTCCAGACGTGGCCAAGGAGCCCCTGAACAGCCGAGGGTAGCCAAGGGTGAGGGTGAGGGCCGCTGCTCTCCCTGTTGTTCGTGGTTCTTCCGAAGGGAGGTTCAGAGGGCGGCCACATCTCCCCATGGTAAGATCCATGGAGAAAGCCTGCCTTCCTTCCTCCCATTCATTTGCCTGGTTCCTCTTTAAGGGCACTTTAAGGCCAGATATCCTTGTCGGTGGCCCCAGGGTCATTTTCTGCAGGGCACTGAGCACAAGACACCCGTCCCACCTTCACGATAATTTTTGAGATGCCTTTGTCCGAGAGTTTGCTGTCCCCAAAGCTCTGGATGTTGAAGGCGCAGATTTGCAGAGGGGTGGCTGCGCGGAGCAGCCAAGCCAGGCTCAATAAAGCCAGCCCCGGGAGCTTCATGGCCCGCTCGCTGCCTGCACAGGGGAGAAAGGAGAGACGCGATTTGGCCCCAGTCCCACCTTCACGATAATTCTTGAGATGCCTTTGTCCGAGAGTTTGCTGTCCCCAAAGCTCTGGATGTTGAAGGCGCAGATTTGCAGAGGGGTGGCTGCGCGGAGCAGCCAAGCCAGGCTCAATAAAGCCAGCCCCGGGAGCTTCATGGCCCGCTCGCTGCCTGCACAGGGGAGAAAGGAGAGACGCGATTTGGCCATATGGCCTCGTTCTTCCCAACCAGTAGCCCAAAGGAACAACAGATCATCCACACCATGCAAAGGGCATCACGTCACACCTAAAACGACAACAGTCTGCCAGCCATAAACAATCCATTAAATAAGTCGAGCACAGAAAGCAAGGGATCACCAAGAAAAGGGAGCTTTATTTAGCCTAAATATTTCCAGTTAGGTGAGCAACGAGGCAGCCGCACAACAAAAGCACAGCAAGACCGACAAGGCAGCAGTGCAACAGGCTGGATTAAAATGTGTGTCTTGGGGCGTGTGTGGATTCTTTGGTGTTTTCGGTTGGAACAGGTGGGCCACCCGCGGCTGCCCTCCTGGCAGTGACAGGACCGATCGTCCCCGGGGCCAAGAGGCACAGCCTGGTGCGCGCAAAGGCAAAATGGCAGGAGGAAAATGTTCCCGGATCTCAACCCAGGTGGGACAGACTGCAGAGATGGGGAGAAAGGATGAGGCCCAGAAGCCAGAAGAGCTTGGCTACCTGCGGGTACCTTGCACACGGGCTTAGGGAACAAGGTAGCCATTGGTCCTCCACCTCCCCTGACACAATATTGCACTTCAGCCCTGACATGTTAAAAGCAGCTGCCAAAGTAAGGGGCCGTTTTCATCACGCTCACAGTGTGTGGGGAGAGAAGGCTCACCCAATCCCTTCTCTGTCTTGGGCTTGACCAAAATCCATAAAACCCCAGCGGGTATCCCAGGAAAAGCCACTCTCAAAGGATTAGGGCCGCTCTCTCTCCTCCAGGGTGTCGGGTGGGGTGGGGGTGGCCGTCCCATTCTCACTGGCCCCGTTCCATCCGTTTGGGAAGGAGAGCCTCAGGGCGCTGGTGCACCCCAGAGAGTAGGAAGCTGCACCCATGGCATCGTTCCACATCCTCCTAGTTCAACCGGCTCTGAGTCAGAAGCACCGACAGGCGCCTCCGTCGTGCTTCCCTCTGATTCACAAGGAGCTCAACCGGTGAGCCTCTGGCATTGCCCAGAATTATGGGACAGGTGGTGGTCAAAAGGGCCCGCCTGGCGCTGAGACGGTGTGAGGGTTAGGCTCTCCCCTGTCTCTGTTGGCTGCTGGGAGGACACGAGACCTGGGAGCAGTTTGCAGGGTGTGTGTGTGTGTGCGCGCACCGCCCCCAGCCTCTGCTTACTTTCCCAGAGGCAGCTCCCTGGAAAGACCACCCCCCTCCTGGATCCAGGGGGCCCTTTCCCAGGCACATACACCCCCACTTTCATCCTGCTAACCAAGATTCTGGAGGTGGCCTCTTTCTGGGCTCCCAAAAAGGATGCTGAATTGTCAACGCTAGGAGATGGCCAGGGGGTGGGCTTTCAGTCCCCTCCGCTCTCCTCCTCCTCCTTGATTCCTTCCCAGGCATGGGAAATACATGAGAAGCTGGCAGCGGAAGGCAAACGGAGCTTTGCCCTCCTTCAGGCTCATGCGGCCCCAGGGCCAGGCTGCTTGCTCACCCGGGTTGCAAGCCTGCATTTTCCTCTGCCTCCACACCTGTGCTTCCACAGCCATTTTAAGCCTTGCTCTGCTTGTCATGCTTGGCACTGCCCACCCTGGGCACTCCAGCTGCTAACTGCAATGGGTACCAACTGCTTCTGACTGGAAGGCCATGGAGCGTTGCTCGTTTGTTTGTTTTGTAATCTGCAAGCCTGGGGCTAATTGGGAGGTTATAAACCACATGAAAAAATAAAAGGTGCATTGAGTCCAGCACCATCCTGCCTCTCCCACGCAGGGATCCAACTGCAAAAGACATTTTGGTTCGGCTACTGCCTCCCACCGGTGTGGTGTTTGGTGGAAGGCGTCTCTCCTGAATGTGGAGGCTCCGGGTCGTTCACTCCACCACCTCTTCATTCTCCTCTCTGGCGTTCTCTAATCCCCATCTTAAGCCGCTCACACCTGTCGCCATCCTGGTGCCCTGCGGCAGTGAATTTGACACACCAGCAGCGCCTTGAGCCACAAGGGACTTCTCTGGGCGGGTCCTCGAACCCTCAGCCCTCAATTTCAGGGGTGTGTGTGTGTGGGGGGGTGTCCCACATTCTCAGGTGATGTGTGGGAAGTGGTGAGAAACCCCAGCTCCCCTCCCCCTCCCCTGGAAGGATACGCCAAGGAGCTCACCGTGGGTCGCAGGAGCTGTGAAAGGACGGTTTCAGGGCAACTCTCGAGCCTCCCCAGGTGGGTCTTTGTCACTTTTGGTCCCCAGCAGGGCATCTGAGAGAAGAGACGGTCCCGATCTTCTGCCTGGCACCTGGCTCCTCTCTTCCAGCTCATCAGGAAGGAGAGGGAGTTGCTTGTCCCCAGAGTGGGTGGCAACGCGTTGGGAAACACCAGTATTGCAAGTTCCACCAGAAGAGAAGAGAAGAGGCTGCCCTGTTGCCTCATGATGAACCGCAGCCCTGGGAGCAGACACACACACACACACACACACACATACACAAACACACACATCCTCTCTCTCTCTCTCTCTCTCTCTCTCTCTCGCCCAAAAAGCTGTGCCTCTCTCTCTCTCTCTCTCTCTCCTTGTGTATAGGATTGCTGGCCTTTGACTCCATGGGACCCAAACCCAACGGCTACACAAGGGTTGGGCACTCAAGTGCTTCCCAAACATAAGCATAAGAAGAAAGGAAGGGGGGGGGAAGAAGGAAAAAAAGAAGGAAAGAGGCAATCAGTTCATGGCAATCATGCAAAAGGCACGCGCACACACACACTTCTGGAGCAGGCATAGACAGAGACACCCGCCCTCCTCCCTGCCTTTCCAGGAAACACCTCGTGAATGTTCTCCAGTTGTTAGGACCGCCTGATGAATTAGCCTCAGGGATGGCGCGATGTGGCACGGAGGACGAAGGAGTCCAGGTGGGTGGAGCAGTGCAAAACCCTGTCCAGCAGCCCCCTGCTGCTCCGAAGGCTCGGGGGGGGGCCTTGGGGGGGGAGCCCTCCAGCCGGGTGGTGGTCATGGTGGACCACCGGTGGCCACTGAGGCAGGTGTCAGCCGAGCCACCATCTCCTCTGAACATGCCATTCCTGGAAGGTCCCCTCTCGCTCCTGGTTTCTGGCTCCTGTCTCGCATAGACTGAAGCACAGATTGGGGGGCGAGGGGGGGATGAATTGACTCACCCGGGCACTGCCTGAAGAGGCAACTTGAGTTGCATTGGAATTGTGCTCCCTCAAGGGCCGAGGCGAGGCGTCTGAAGAAGGTGTAGGAAGGAGTGGGCGGAAAAACATGGAGAGGAGAGAGGAAGGAAGAGGTTTAAAGGGGGCTACGAGGAGGAGGAGGAGGCCGAGGGAGGGTCCCCTGAGTCAGAACCGCCGTTGGATCGAAGGGGTGTGTGGATGAGCCTGGCCCTCCGGCAGAAACACCCCTTGGGGAGAAAATATTGGAAGAGGAGCCCCAGGAGATGCCTTTGCTGGGACAGAGCTGGGGGTGTTCTCTGGGGCCTCTGTTCCTGGGGGGGGGCAGCTCCTCGGCCATCGGGAACGCTTTGCAGAGCAGGGGCCTCCTGGCCCATCGGCCGGGATCAAAGAGGGCCTGCCGAGCAAAGCTGACCTCAGAAAGGCTACGGATTGGGGGGGGTCACATCCCCAGAATCCCCCAAGCGACCAAAACGTTCCAAACTAGCCCCCTCCCAAACACCCCCCTTCTACCTCCCCTGATCCTGAAAGTCAAGCTGGGCCAGGCCTCCTTCAGGTCTGGGTGGGAGACCCAGAAGCAGTTGCCGCCCTGGGGTGTGTGTGTGTGTGTGGGGGGGAATGTTGAATACACACCACCTCTTTCACAAGGGTTGCGGCCACCTTGGGTAAGAAGGGTTTGCCGGGAAGGAAACGGAGAGGCTGTGGGAAAGAGGTATGTCTTGGGGGGGGGTGCGGTTGTTATCTGTGTGTGTCTGTTCCTCTTTTGCTTCTGTGGGGGGGGAGGAGAGAGAGACACACACAGACAACCCATGTGGTCAGTGTGGGTTTTGCATCGGGTGGGTTTCAGATAAGGTGTCCTCAGCCGCTTCCTGGTTGATCAAGCGCACCTGTGCCAGGAAGAACCTGTCTCGCATCAGGAGGATGGGGCAAGAAACCTCCTCCCAGCCATCTCTCTCCCCCCCCCCACAAAAACACACACACACAGAGGGCAACTGCTCTGTCTGTTTTCTGACCAGGGGCTGCAGGGGGAGGCTCTGCGGAGGGTCTGGCCACTTCCCTTTGGGGGATGGCCATTAGGGCCAGAGGGGCCCCAGAGGGAAGGAACGTCCGGATGCCCTGCGGACGGAGGACATTCTCTGCCAGGTGGAGGTCATATCCCACCCTCTGGCCGCACGTGACGCCCTCGGGGCAAGAGCTGGGATGAGCCAGGGTTTCACTTCTGGTTCATCTCGTGCTGCATCCCAGCAGGAGAAACAGGAGAACAGAATGAATCACCTTTGGCTTTATTTTTATTTTTTAAAAGGTCACACAACAAAGGGCTCCTCAGAGTTGGTTTTAAGTCAGGTAAGGTGGCAGAGGCTGCTTTCCTGGTTCCCCAGAAACCGCAGGAAGGAAAGGAACTTCTCTCAATGAAAGGAGGACCTCTGAATCCTCTCTCTCTCTCTCTCTCTCTCTCTCTGTGGGAAGGGAAGTTTTTGTAGAGCAAGAGGATGGGAGGAGGTCCGCGCAGCCGCTGTCGGTGAGATGCCGAAGGGCCCCTGCCGGACCGGGCGGAGAACAGAGAGGGACCTCCTTAGGTGGACCTCAGGGTCACTTCCACGGGGTAGTGGTCACTGATGGCCAAGGCCTGGAAGAAAAGGGCAGTGTGAGGGACCACCACAGCCCTGCCGATGGGTCAGCCTTCGGGATCCGTGGAACAGCCCGTCTCCTGGGTGGAGGCCGGGGGGGGGGAACCGGCGGCTCCAGTGTTGGGGTTCCTGCGAGTCCACCCCAGGCTTCACGGCCCCCTTTGTGGTTCCAAGTGCTGACCTTTGCCCCCACCCCAAAGGTCCGGCCCCTGGGAGACCGCCTGTCAAGTTCAGGCTAAAAGGCAAGGCGGGTTCCCAGCACCCCTGAGCCAGAAGGGGGGGGCTCTGGGCGACGCCACCTGTCTGAGCTGACCTCCCTCGTATTTCTTTTTTCCCTGGGGGGGAGGTCAGCTGGGGGTGTGGGCCTCAGGGAAAGGTTCCCCTTCCAGAAGTCTGGAAGGAGGAAGAAGCATTTCCTCCTCCAGGGAGGGGAAGTGGAAGGGGGGGGGAACCCACTCCTTTCCCACAAGAGCCCTTTCTCCAGGCCAGAGGCCCTCTCCCTTGGAGTCCATCCTTTGCCTGCAGGATGGAGCCCATGGCCCTGCTGCTCCTGGGGATTCTGGGGGTTGTAGTCTAAAATAAGGAACAACACGGCCCCCAAAGATCCAAACTGCGGCTCACGTCCTTGTAGCTCAAGCTGAATCTTTGCTGGAAGTTGTTCACCTGGGCCGACCCGGGCAGGATCCCCTCCTGCAGCCTGGCTCCGGTGGCCACGATCCTGCAACACGGGAAGGGGAAGGGGGCGCGGGTTGAGAAGGAGGGGCTTCGGATGTGCCCCCGGGAGAAGGAGGGCCTGGACTCCCGGCCCCCCACAGTGGAAGCGTGCACGGTGGAGAAAGCGGAGCAGGGGTTAGGCGCGTGCGGGGAGGGGGGTGTTAGGCATGCACCTGTGAAACACCCCCCCCCGCGAAGCAAGCACTCGCGTTGCCTTCCGGGCGCCCCACGCCTCTTGGAACGA